ATCCCGCCGCATTTATTTTCGTCCAAAAGTGGCGCGAAACCTTTTTTTTTTGTTTTCGATGCCGAAAATGGAATCTTCTGTCGGAAGGCACCCTAGAACCGGTTATTTTTTTCCTACCGACGGAAACTCGACGAGATACGGAGTTACACACTCTTGTGAGGAAGGCGCCCTTGGTGACCGCCTCGCGTTGGTAAATCAAGGAGCTGCACCAAGACCACAGGGTACATAAGCTTGCCGCACTAACTCTACTTCCGTACCTGGAGGAACAGAGGCGGCAAGCAAGGCTACAAGTGCACACCCGGAGGTGGGTACGAGCGCGGGTGCATTCTTTCATTTCTGCGGTCGGGTGCAGCTCGCTTGGAAGCCGCGCAACCGCGCTCCGCCACGAGCGATGACACCGGGCGCGAGCTGCTGGGCTGAGCTGGCTGGTTGCTCTCTCTCTCTTCCTTCTTATGAAAGCATTATAGAATACGCACGATACATCTGTAAGCTCCTCTACGCCGCCTCAAGTGCCAACCACCCCAGCTGCTCTTCCCTACAGCAGTATCCAGCGACCTGTACCAAGCAGCAGCACCGACCTCGGCTTCACGGCAGTAGTAATATTGTTCTGCGATTGCTTGCACCCACAGAGGTTCCGTTCTAGAACCTCCCCCTGTACCAATCTACTCCATGTGTAACACAGCAGTCTATTTACAAGTTTTGCAGTTTGCACCGCACGCCCAAGTTCTGAGACAGATTGCCGTGTAACCCGTGTGCCAGGTGTGTGTGGGCGAGATGAGCTGCCGCCCTGCCATGCTACCATTTTCTGCGTTGGCTGCTGACTTGTCTCGTAGAAGCGTGCAGCATATGCTGGTTGCAGCAAGCATCAGCGGGCGAAACCTCTCGGCGGAGACACCACCGCAGACACCAGCAGCAGCACCAGAACCCGCAGCACGACCAGCCACCGGCGGAAGTGGCACCAATGCTAGTGCTAGCTCCATGCCAGACCCGAGGAACCAGCGGGTTCTTCACGCTGCCGTCGCGGGGCTTCCAAATGCTGGGAAATCTACGCTGTTAAACTACATGGTGGGCGATAAGGTGAGAACAATGTGTGTTTGCTGCACTGCCTCCTCACCTTACTGCTGTTGTACTACAGCATACCGCACAGACCTACAAGTTGGATAGATCTCTACCTATCCAGCCGCCTGTTGCCAGGGTATAGACTAGAAACAGACATACACACAGATTAGAGCAGAATGGGGCTTATGGCTCGACTGTAGTTGTCTGTTCCGCACCAGACTACACAGCAGCCAGTGGATTCCCAAGCACCAGCATTACTCGAAAACATCTCCATATGGTTTGCGTCCTTAAAGCGGGGTTGCGTCCTTAGAATTCAGGGGACGATAACTCACCATCCCCGGGGCCAATGGAGGCATGCTTACCTCATACCCCAAACTACGCGTCTTTTGCTAAGGAATGGGGTGGTACGAAAAGTCAGCATCGCCGAGACGACTGGCAACCGTTTGTTGACGTCGAACATATTTACAATACAGCAGTACTGGGCCCTCTATAGTGCAGGGGTGTGTTCAGAATTTTTCACCTGCACTATACCGGGCACCTGCACTATTCAACCTGCACTATAGGGGGCCCAGTACTGTCATTGAAATGAGATGTACAACAGTCAGGGACGTGTTGAAAACAACTACAGTACACCAGTTTGTACTTGTCCAACTAGTGTACTGCATAGCCGGCAGCGGAAGAAGCAAAGTCCAAGTAGACATGTATATATCTCCTTCTTGTGAAACAAAAAAAACGAGCGTATTTCAGCGTTGCACCGAGGAACACCAGTACAAATCACTGTCCCGGCGGAGACCAACAGCTACCCTGATGGCTTTTCCTTCCACATATCACGAAGAGTTCCCTGAACCTCCCCCCGCGGCTTGGCTCTACGGCTCTATTGAGTTTCATGAGTAAACGAATGAATGGTCTTCGAAAGAAGGTACTGCGTCTCACGGTACTCGCCACCCGTTCCCTTCGCGTACAAATACAGATAGCGCCCGCAGTTAAGAAAAATTATGTTGAGAAAAAAGGCTCAACTTTGTACGAAAAATAAGAAAAAGGGGCTGAAGAAACATAGCTCAATCTCGGCCACAACGTAAGAAACGCCCCAATAAGAAACGTGATGGTGCGATACCCCCATGACATCAGAAATCTGCGGTGCTCCCAACCCCCTCCCAAGCTGAACAGAAGTGCATTTTTCTGTAGGGGGCACAGTCTCCCCCCGCGCGCCCCTGCTGTTCCCAGTGAGTGCTGTACTGTAGTACTGCCACACATCGCGGACGACCATATGCTCTCCGCCGTTGTACGGGTTTGATGCCACTTTCCACCACCTCTCTTGAGGGCGTGATGATGTGGATTGCCCTCAGAGATCAAAAGACAAAAAAAAGAAAATACTGAGTATTTGTTGTAGTCTAAGGAATAAGAAAATCGAGAGGTTGCGACAGTCCAAAGAAAGAAGGAATGCCATTTACGAAATGGCCGATTTGGGCCGGTACTTCGACCCAAAAGAAGGGATTGGTGAGACTCTAACCGATTTTGAAGTTGCTTAACTGCGGGCGCTATCTGTAGGATCAAACGTCCTCCAAGCGAGAGGCAACCTCGCCCTCGGTGAGGGACGAGGTTATGTATGACTCTTTTTTTGGCGGCATCAGATGGACCGCTGGTAGATGGGAGGAATCTGTCCATACCAACACCCAGTTGCAGTTGCAGCAGCAGACCGCTCGCTACTTCTGCTGTCTGTGCGTCGCTACTTCTGCACTCGCTGTTAGGGGTGCCAATCGGTCAAATTTCCTATAGGAAAAGTTCCAAAAAGTGACCTGGATCATCCAGATGGAAAATCGCTCGAGCCAATCAAATCACATAGAACGCTCCTGAGCAATGCTGCACACAGCGGCGCTCGCCGCCTCGCGCTGTCTACTTTCGATCAACTCCTGCTCCTTTTCTACCAGCGCTTTCTGCGCGACGGCAACACCGCCCCTTTCGACCGCGCGCTGTGTGCGCTGCTCCGGCCGCGTCGCCAAAGGTCCGCCCCTCCCGCTCTATGTATTTGCGTTCGTTTTTCGTGAGGTTGCGACGAAATCGATTTTTTCCTCCCGCGCCGAAGGCCGAGCGTTTGCGTTTTTTGGGGACCCCGACCGCGGTGCTTGGCGTGCTTGACTGGCCATTTTCAGACATGCGGTTCTTGCTGGTAGTTTGTGCGATTCTAGTTCGGTTTCTTGCGTTGTGTCGCTGAAAATCCGAGGCTGTGCGCTGCGGATCCGCTGTTCTACGATCACCAAACGCGGCCACGAGCGTGAGCCTTCAAACCGAATTTCAAGGGTGTTCTATGTTGTTCGCCCGCCCTTTGGACGTCAGTAGAAAACGAACCCGCAGTCACGTGTAGATCACCTGTCTCCAGATGTGTGTAACGTATGAAGAGCCACATCGCTGCCTGGACGCAGGGACTCTTGAATAAACATACGGAGGATAACGNTACGATCACCAAACGCGGCCACGAGCGTGAGCCTTCAAACCGAATTTCAAGGGTGTTCTATGTTGTTCGCCCGCCCTTTGGACGTCAGTAGAAAACGAACCCGCAGTCACGTGTAGATCACCTGTCTCCAGATGTGTGTAACGTATGAAGAGCCACATCGCTGCCTGGACGCAGGGACTCTTGAATAAACATACGGAGGATAACGTACACTTTGATCGGTATGATTTCAAGAGCTGAGCTGAGAACCAACAATCCGCGTGCCCCCCCTTTTTTTCCCAAAATCCTCGAATAGACCGTTCACTTTTTTGCCGCCAAAATCGGCCCGATTGGCACCCCTAACTGTGGTGCGTAGTTCGTGCAAAGAGCGGTCCGCAGGCCCGCAGGACACGCAAAAAAAGGAGGGTACGCGGCAGAAAAGGGGGTATCCCATAATCGTATATTCTGCCGGGCCCCCGGTGCTCAGCATCTAAGCATGTTTCCTTCAAGCGGGGAGTTTACTTAACGCGAGCGTTCTTAAAGGGGGGTCGACTGTATGCTACCAGTGGTACGCAGAAAGCAAGTGTTTGATGTTTGCAGTGTAAGCCGACAGCGTATAAGCTGGTATATTGCTGCTGTCTCGTGTGAATCAATAATTTTTCACCCGTCGTGCATTCCGAGTAAAATATATCGGCCCAACAGGCAAGGTGTGTGATACGTTGATCACCTGTTCGTTCGCCACGGCACTGCTGTCATCGTCATCCAACCCCACAACGCTTCAAAACGATGTCCGTTCTTGCGACTGCTGTGATGGCAGATGGGAAGCTACCATCTTAGGCCTGAAGCCTGGTAGCGTAACAGCGCCACAAGCAGTGCGTAGGCACAACTCGTCGCCCATGCAACCCCCCCAGAGTATGAACCGCGTATGTTTTTGTGTTTTTTCAAACTCATGGTATCTCGGTATCAGGTCTCAGCCGTCTCCACGAAGCGACATACGACCCGAGAGAACACCCTGGGGGTCATGACCGTCGGGCGGACTCAGGTGTTTTTCCACGACACTCCCGGCTTCGTCAGCCACGAAGAGCGCGATGACTACAAGCCCGCGTTGTCGGCCGAGTCCCGCGACGCCATCGCAGCTGTGGACCTCACGCTCTTGCTCGTGGACGCCTCCAAAGACGTCACGAAGCGCGGGCTGCGAAGCCTGACGGGGTTGCTCGAAAGGGTCATTAGGTGAGAAAGTGCTGCGTATTTGTTGCTCTGTGATTCAATCGGTGGCAGTGGTAGGAGGCATTCGAGTCCACTCGATGAGAGTGTGTCTAGCGGAAGTGCCTGATCTTGTTGGTAGTGTTTTGGCTGCAGCACGGTTCAACCTAACGTTTTGCTCTTGCACACGCTTTGCTCTTGCTACTGTTTTCCCACAAGCTCAGCTGAATATTTTGTCTTCAAGTTGCTAATGTAGTTGGAGAATTCATGGAGGAAACGTTGTTCCGTCTGTTTCGTGATTGCAGCTCTTGAGTAGAGAGCACAAGACCATGCATGCGGCAAGCAGATACTGCTAGCGAAGACACTATAAAATAGATAGGATATCAAGAGATACATCAATAGACGACATTAGGACTTCTGTGACATGTGACATGACCCTCTTGTGCCGCGGTACCGCGCGCGACAGGTCTCGATGCGAGGTGTTCCTCGTGCTTAACAAATCGGACCGAGTCCACCCCAAGCACCGCCTTCTCGCAACCACGGACGAAATCATGGATAGGGCTCAGGAGATCATGGACCAGATAGATAACGAGCGAGAACAAGCTGTTGCTGCTGTTGATACTTCACCACGCCAGGAAAGTGGTTCCACAGCAGCAGCAGCAGCAGCAGGGAGTGGCAATTGTGGCAACTCCAATGGGAGCGGTGTTGGTGAGCGAGGGCAGCAGCCGTTGTTCCGGGACGGTGGGAAAACGGTCGACGACCACGTGACGGTGTTCATAGTCTCGGCCAAGACGGGCCACGGCGTCCAGGACATCGTCGATTTTCTCGTTCACCGCGCCAGTCCGGGCGCCTGGGTGTTCGGTCCGGACAAAACGACCAACAAGGACAAGAGGAGCCGGGTAAAGGAGATCGTGAGGGAAGGCCTGTACAAGCACCTTTACAAGGAGCTGCCCTACCAGATCACGACGCACATAAGGTAAAAGCAATAACCCGTGATTCGAAGGAGGACGTTTCTCCTAGCCAGAGCGTCCCGCCCGCCTTCTTGGCTTGGTCCGCCCACTTGGTAGCAAAGCCCACTCGCGCCTCTCTCCGTGCTTGTGTACGGCAGAAGGGTGGGCTGTATCGAAGCAATGGTCTCGATGCTACTCCTTCCTCAGCGGATGCTGCTGCATTCGACCGGGTTCCGTCTCTTGTTTTCGATTGTGCGGGCGCTCAGAGGATAGTGTTTTGCGCTTACGGCTTTGAGGCGAGGCCGACCAGGGTTGTTGTAAATGGAACATGGCGATTCCCAAATCCGACCAAAGGGACCTGGAGCTTGCACAACAGACAAAACTCCCTGGTCATGCCCACCCCAAAGGCCAGCAGGCTCTTGCTGAGGGGCCGGGGACACCTTTCGCACGGCAGGTTTTTTGGTTTCTCGTGTGTTTGTGGCTTTTGATACGCAGCCAGAGTGGCCCAACACTTGTTCGTGACCAACCCTTATCCGTCGTCGCGGTAACAATAGCGTGCTTGTTTCACAAGAAACCGCCTCTCAACTCTCTCCCGTACAGCAAGCCGCCTTGGCTCCGCCAACCGGTCGCCTCCACCACCAGTCACAGCAGTGCCGTGCCTGCCGTTCGTTCACCCCCTGGATCCCCTCGTAAGGTCCTAAATCCTCGAGACACGGGTTTCGATTCAATTCGGGGGTACGTTTGTCCGGACCTAGTGTTTCAAGGACATCATCTACGTTGTACCGTATGTGGCTATCGGTAACTACGGCGGTGTTTTTTTTTCTTTCGTTGACCCACACGCTAACCTCCGCCCCCAACCCTCCCGCGCGGTACCTCTCGGCGTCGTGTTTGCTGGCCACTGTTCAGGGAGCTCTCGCGAAGACCGGACAACAGCGTATCCGTGCTGCAAGAACTGCGCGTGGATAGGGCGTCGCAGAAACCCATTGTGCTTGGGAAGCTCAAGTACATCAAGAAGGACGTGGAGTGGGATCTTCGGAAGCTGTTCGGCACGCGCGTCGACGCGCGATTTAGCGTGATAGTGGGCCACAAGAAGGGTTAGATGCCAGGCCACCGAGGAGCGGTGCAGGCTGTTGGTCGAGAAGTACTCTTGGGGGGGTGGCGCTACGTTTGTGCAGCAGCAGCAGGGTTGCGAGTGTAATCAGATGGTGTTGTGTGTTTCTTAATTTTCCATCGACCGCGCTAATCGGCTGACCAACCAAAATACGTCGTGTTTTGTGTATGTGTGCGGGCTCAGTCTTCGCGGGGGTTCCCTGCAGCATGTGGGAGATGATTTGCAAGATGAGCGCACATGCGCAGCTAGCTACATAATTCCCGAGAGACACGGCAGCCATTGGAACCATTCCGGAGTTCACATGGCCATTTGGGCTGCAACAGCCAGTGGACGTTCTACGATCGATCACGCGTCTCTGTGCGGCCTTCCCCGTGTGTTTTCCGTCGCTGTGTGTCAAGTGCACAGCTGCTAGGCGTTGGGTATCGAAGGGGCCAAGTTTCCCCGTCGAAAATATCCCCCGCAAAGAGGGGGCACGCATGGACGTTCCCTGTTGTTCGTGGACACGCAACTCTGAGCGATGGAAAAGGCGCGTGCGCGGGGAATTTTTTAGATGCTGTGAAAGGGTTTTAAGTGTTGAACTTTTGTTTATAATGGCCAGTACACACCCAACGCTTGTGCTTGGGAGTAACGGTATCTCCTTGCCTTTCGTGTGCACACAAAAGGTAAAGAAAAATTGACACAACGACACAACCAAACAATCACACACAATTTTTGGCAGTGTTTCGCAGTTTTGCACCGGAACTCATCACCATATCCGAAGAATAAGAAGAATGTATCTCTTTCCGCCGCTAACAATCATATGCTTAGCTGCATCATGGAAGCTCACGTGAAGGAGGTCTAGAGACGTCTGTAAAAACGATGGCATTCATGTTTTGTAGACACGTAGACTAGAGGATATAGATATGTGTTCATCGACGCGATCAAAACCGATCCCCCCCTCCCCCCCCGCCCCGCCCGTTCCCGACAGTCCCGTATGTGTTTTATCCTTTTCCCNCAAAACCGACCCCCCCCCCCCCCCCCGCCCCGCCCGTTCCCGACAGTCCCGTATGTGTTTTATCCTTTTCCCTGTCTTGCTTATTCCTTGCACAATCATCGCATGCACTCTCACAGCGACGCTTACCATGTTCTCAGAGGAACAATCCTTTGCATTACCGTCGCTGAACTCAGCGCAGTGCCTATGCTCTTACGAGGACACCAACGAACAACCACGGTATGAAGCAGGCGATTGTTCTGTAGGCTAGTTGTGCCGCTTCTTGACGGCAGCATGACACTTTGGCTATTACCATGCGGTTTGCCTCGTGTTTGAGAATGGGCTGCGTAGAAGTAGAAACGGCTGTAGAATTACTGTGGCCGTTGGTCTTGCCGAGTTTCGACGGACATCTTACTGACAGCGTCATGCATGAATGAACCGTTGGCTGTTGGGGCCCCGTGGGGGGATACTGCTGTAGTAGATCTCCCGAAGTATCAACGCGTTCGCCACACATGTACGCAACTGCACCCATGCATACCCACAGCAGACAAGCACCACCTTGCTTTGTTCTACGCACTCTCTTGTGTTGACTTCTCTTTGTTGGACGAAGAAGTTCGTTCTTTCGTCTTTGATGTATTGTACTTTCTCTGAATAGATGTCCGCGGCCCTCACGTTGTTCCGAAAGATTGAGTGCAACCCACTTGTACACAACCTCTGCATGTATGTGTGTTAAACGTGCGATTACAGCTGTAGTACTGTACTCTGCTCCGCAGAGTTCTTGTCTCTCCTTGTTCTCGTGTGTGCATGAGCACACATGCGCAACTGGCTCTATGTACATACTTCTGTGGTTCACCGATCGACTTGTACGCTCGTCATTGCCGATACGCAAGGCTGCTGGTTGTCAACGAGACGGGGCTGTTCAAGCTCCGGGCAGGCCTCGGCCCGGCCGGTAACCGCTACGGCCTGGGACAGCTTCCCGTAGAATCGCTCCCGGAAGTCGCCAAGGTTGTCGCTTGTACCGTCGTTCGCACGCGTCGGGGAGACGGCAGTGGCGGCGGCGGCGACGGAGGTGGGCGGACCCCAGGCATGGTTTGCGTTGCGATGCTTGTGCCCCCGCTCCCGGCATCCGCAGCCGTGGCGGTGGACAACCACGGAGGAGGTGGCGGCGGCGGGAATAGGCAGGGTGACGTCGCCGGAGGTCCTGCCGTGAGAGCGGCAGCGGCGACGGCAGCGAGCGGTAGCGGCCTCCTCAACGTGTACGCTCTGGACGGCGAGAGGGGCTCGGAGGTAGACCGAGCTCTGCGACGAGAGCCGCAACAGCTGGTGTTGCCGTACATGCCGGTAGGGATGGCGCACACAACAGTGTGGCGGAGTGTTGCCGCGCTCCCTAACTTTGTCGGAGGGGGGGGGAGCGGGGCAGGGGAAGGAGCCGGTGCATCGTCGTCGTCCTCACCAACCAACAACAACAACAACAACAACAACAACAACAACAACAACCATCGGGTTAGAGTCGAAAGAGGAGACGCCGTGCTCGTGTGGGACCAAAGCGGGATCGTGCATGGGTATACGCGTTGGGAGGGCGGCGGCGACCGCCGAACCGCCGCCGACAGCAGCACCAGTAGAGGCGGAGGCGGAGGAGGTACGAGGAGCGGAGGGGGCGCCACGGGCAACGTCTCCATACTCACCGCGGAGTCCCGGGAGAGCCTCGAGACGCTGGTGCCAGAGCTCAGGGGCATCGACAGCCCGGTCTCGTGCCTCGCCTTCAATGCCGTGGAGGAAGGGGACGGCTGGGCGAGGAGGCGGAGAAGAGTGCTGGCCGGCTGCATGGAGAGCGCCCGCTGCGTCTCGCTCCACGATGCGGCCAGCGGGTGCAGAGAAACGGCGGTTGCTTCGGTCCGCGGTCCGGTGGGAGCCGTAGCGCTGAACTCGCGCCCCAGGTTCATGCCGTACGACCGGCACGTCGACGACAGGTGGGGCGGAAACGTCGCCGGGTTCGCTTGCACCGAGCTCGACATGTTGGCGTGGCTCGTGGAAGGCGGCAACGCCGCTGGTGCCGGTGTCGGTGGAAGGTGGTACACCGGCTCCCTCCCGTTGGGAGAGGCCGTCGGCGGCGGTGGTGGCGGCGACCAGGTTACGTGCATGGAGTGCGCTGATTTCTTGCGCGACGGCTCGACAGCGGTGGCCATCGGCACGAACCTCGGCAAGGTTATCGTCTGCAGTGCGGAGCCCAACAACGGAGGCAGCGAAGGGGGGTTAGCCGGGGGTCTGGAGGAGGTTGGCAGGGTGGACGCCGGCGGCAGCGGCGGTGGCGCAGGGCTCGTGTTCGGCTTGGAGGTCAACGGTGACGACAGCAGCGAAGAGGACGAGGCAGGTTGTTCGTCGAACCCGGTTCAGCCGCCCTCTAGACGCGGGGACAGCGTTTCGCCACGGCCTTCCGGGTTGGTATCGTCGGCGGCAGACCGGCAGTTCCACTCGCGTCGCGTCGCCGACAGACAGGGGGGCGGCGGTAGCAGGGAACAACAGCAGCAGCAACGGCCTCTGCTGACCGCGAGGTGGCAGCGGGACTTGCCTCACGGGGTCCTTAGAATCGCGTTCGGCGACTTCAACCACGACGGCGTGAGGGAGTTGGTAGCTGCGACGCAGTACGGGGTCCATGTGTTTCGGCCGGACTACAGGGAGGAGGCGAGCCGGTTCGCGAAGACGATGCACGCGCTGGAGATGCTCCAGCCGAAGGAAGGCGACGTGGGCGACTTCATGAGCAGCGCGAGCGACAACGATGATGATGGTCGAGACGAAGGTTCCCGACCACGTGGCGCGGACGCATCAGGGATGGAGGAGATTCAGGGCGTTGGTGCCGCCGCCTTGGATAGTGCTGAATGAAGGGTTGTTGCATGAAAGTCCAACAAACCTCATATAGTTGTTTGCTCAACTAGTGATTGTATTCGTCGTCTACCTTGGTATGTATATAGCACGTGCCGTTGCTTGATTTTCGGCAAGCACTGCTCATCAGAAACTAGAAAATCTGCGTGGCAATGTACGCGAGCGCGTTATGGTTCGGGGCCGCGCATGCTGTCATGCATGTGCATCAAGAGGGCTCGTGTTGCAGCAGTGCGCAAGAACGATAGGAAACGGAAAAGGAGCGAACTGTATGAAGGTCACGTGTCTATCATACCTCATCCAAGGATGGAGAAACACAAGATGAGAAGGTACTTTCTGTGCCACACAGCGCGAAGAATCACAAAAAGACGAACGAGAAAGGACAAGGCGATGCCGTGTGTTCGTTGCCTACGAGCTCGGTCGGTTGCCCCGGTGGTCTAGCGGTGAACCTCGTGCAATTTCTAGAATCTAGGTCGAGTTTCATTCATTCGCTGAAGTGAAAAAAAACTTCGCGATGTGCGGTGGAAAACGATGAACTCGTGGGTGTCCATACGTCGAGAGGGGCTCTTCTATGTGACCACGGGTTGCAGTAAAACGGCGCTAATAATGCTGTGAGCGGTGATTAGAAGTGAAGACAAGAAAAAACAAGAAACGTCGACGTCATGATCGACGAGTGGAAGGGACAGCTGAACCCTTCTCGCGACAAAAGTGCAAGGCAAGCACCACACGACAGAAGGTGGGGCACGTGAACTACGGCTGCAGTCCTATTACTACATAAGAAAAAGATCCTGTGCGTGACCCCGGCTGAGGTCAAACCACACACACGACGAAAACGTAGGTGTGTAACTGGCACCAGATTTTATGTGAAAAACACGCACAACACAGACACACGCACCCCCGAAAACGTCGGTGTGCAACTGGCACCAGATTTTTTGTGAAAAACACGCACAATACAGACACACGCACCCCCGAAAACGTAGGTGTGTAACTGGCACCAGATTTTTTGTGAAAAACACGCACAATACAGACACACGCACCCCCGAAAACGTAGGTGTGTAACTGGCACCAGATTTTTTGTGAAAAACACGCACAATACAGACACACGCACCTGAACCAAACCATGCGAAGGTTGTATTCCAAAGCTACACATGTATGCTGTGTGAGTGCGCACATGTAGGCATTATTTATTGTTTGGCAGACTCCCACTCTTTCATTCCACGGCTCCCCCGCTCGCTGCTGCTGCTGCTTCTGCCGCCCACATGCGGTAAACCTAAACCAGTACATGCAAGGGGGGTTGTGACACAAATACTTACAAAAGAAATACCACGTTCTGACCTCCATAAACCAAAAACAAGCAAACAATCAGTACCACCACCAACCTCCACCAGACTGTTCGGCTGCCGCCGAAACTTAATTCATCGCAAACACGCCGCAATCTGGGGGCACACCGCCAACCCCATACCTCATACCCCATGAAAATTGGACAACAATAGCAATAGCAACAGCACTCTCCCAAGGGGTAGGTTCGTTCCTAGCTGGTTGACCGACCGAACACATTGAAAATTTGTACAAGACAACAAATAGAGGATTGCCCCCCCTTCCGTCCATTCCCCCGGAAGAATGTTTCAAAAGAGGGGCGGGTTATGAAATGATAACGGAGAACGAGCCAACTTGGTCTTCATGTCCCCCGCAAGCATCTGCAGCTAAACACAGCAGTCGTCCACGTTAAATAAAAATTACACCCGTAGAGAGTGTTGAGACTAGAGAAAGCAATCTGCACGAAAACCCAGAGTACTCTATACTTCCTCCCGCCGTGTACGTGGACCAGGCAGTCCACTTTCTCCCCGCCCTCGACAAAAAAAGCCTCCTCTGGTTGCCTTTGTCTTATGCCGTACCGCTACTCCTTCCCCCACTCGACAAAAAGCCTCCTTTCTTGCCCTGTCCTCTCCCGTACTTGCTGCGTCCCCCCCCCTCTCGACACAAACCTCCTCTCCGTGCTTTTGTCCACTACCATGACCGGTCCTTTCTGCCTCTTCCCCCCACTTGAAAAAAGCTTCCTTCCTCGCTCTAGCCCTCTACCGTACCGGTTATTTCTGCCTCCCCTATTCGACGCTCGTTCCTCCCCTGCCGGACACGGCGCCTGTCTGTCTGTTCCCTGACTGACCGGCCACCCTACTCGTATTACTCGTCATCTTCCCCGTCGTATCTCTCCGTCTGGAGGGCCTGGCACAGCACGGAGCCCCACCTCAGGAGGGCCGTCGCGTTCTCCGGATCGAGCCAGAGAGTAACGTTCTCGCTCGGGTTGACCACCTCAATGATCCACCCGTTGTTGGAGTTAGCCACATCGCAGTGCTGGATGGTGGCCCCTTCCAGAGCGATGAGCGGCATGAAGCCGGCCGCTGTGTATTTGTGAGGGTGTTTTTTGGGGTTCGAACGTGAAGGGAGAGCGGGGGGGGAGGGGTGAGTGAGCCGTCGGAGGAAACAAAAAAAAATGTCCCATGCCAGCGTTGGATTAATTTGTGCGTGGCAAGATGTGGTGCTTGAGGGGTGACGGACGTAGCCACTCCCCCGGCAACTCCAAGAAACTTTGCAAACGCAAGCTTCTGAAGAAGGGAATTTCACGAATACAAACCAAACGCTTCGCTGCTGCTTCTTGTGTTTCATGTTTCCAGAGACTTCGAAGGCAGTGTGCTTGCCCGCAAGCTCCTCGCGAATATGACGACGTAGAGCTGGTGGCCTTTTGAATGTACCACAAACACGCCTAGACGAGAGGCATGGGACCTTTCAGCAAGGGGGGCAGAATTTCCTAGGCGGAACCAACAGCAAATGTTCAAGCGCGAGTGCAGCAACATACTACAAGCACGCATCCATCCAAAGTGTGTATTGCCCCCCCCCCCCCACGCTGGCTGGATCGGTTCCACCCCAGAAAAAAAACAACACCCGCAGCGCACAAGATTCTTCGTAACCCCTCCCCTCCTCCCCGTGGTTACGCTCTAACACCGCACCGCTAAGGCATGCAACAACATGATTACGCCCGCCCCCGAAAACCCCCTTCCCGGTGTTTGCCATCGGGGTTGGGTTTTCGTCGCTTGGCAACGACGTTGTAAAACAAGCCGCCCCCCCCGGGGTTTTACCATCGGGGTTGGGTTTTCGTCGCTTGGCAACGACGT